GGACAGTGAGCGGACGTGGGGACCGGAGCCGAGCGCCCGGGCGAGTGTCGGGGGCCGCGGGCCACTCGGGAAGCCGCGCGCCGAGCGCCCACGCCGCGCCCTCGCCCCCGCGTGCGCCCTCGGCCCCCGGCGGCCGCCGCGCGCTGCGGGAGACGCGGAGCCCGAGGACCGGGCGCAGCCGCAGCCGCAGCCGGAGCCGGAGCCCGAGCCGCGGGGCGGGCGCGAAGATGCACACGACCCAGAAGGACACGACGTACACCAAGATCTTCGTGGGAGGGCTGCCCTACCACACCACCGACGCCAGCCTGCGCAAGTACTTTGAGGTCTTCGGAGACATCGAGGAGGCGGTGGTCATCACCGACCGGCAGACCGGCAAGTCCCGGGGCTACGGATTTGTAAGTTACACGGAGGGAGGGCTCAGGGGGGGGGGGGGGGGGGGGAGATGGGGGATGGCAACTCAGAGAGGTCCCGGCTCGAAGGCAGGCCAGGGGGGAGCGCGTGGCCCCAGGCCCTCGGGAGTCAGAGCTTGCAGGGGGTGGGAGGGTTGGCTCTGTGGGACCTCGCGGGACGCCCCCTCCGCTCGGAGCTGAGCTGAAACTTTAAGCTTCGGGGAGTAGGGGTCCGGGCCTGCCTCGCGGGGTTCCGAGAGGACCTGAGGCGATGCTCTTTCGGTGGTCCCAAAGCTTGGGAAAGGAGGACCAGATCTGGGATGCAGAGAGCTGGGAGGGTGGGAACAGAGCCTCCTCACACTGTGGCATTCCCGGGTCGGAGGCTGGTTGTTAAGTGCGCTGGTGCTTTGTTTAGAAAAAAGAAAGACGAAAGACTGTCTCTGTATGAGTGAGAGAGAGAGAGAGTGTGTGTGTGTGTGTGTGTGTGTGTGTGTGTGTGTGTGTGTGTGTGTGTCTGTGTGTGTGTGTGTGTGTGTCTGTGTCACTCCTACTTTTTAAATTGCAAAGGTAGATTCTAAAGAGAAAAGGAAAAGCTGGCCCCTCTGGCTGTTTGCCTAACTGAAACAGCACATTAAGCTTCCTGGAGATTTAAAGGGGCAAATTCAGCTGTCCAGAGAGCCAGGAGCTCCGAGCAGGACAATCGCTGTTGTCGCTGGGGAGTCCTTGCCTGTTGGAGCAACTGGCTGCTTTGGGGCTGGACTTTGTTTAAAGCCCACAGTGCCTCTGGGGCCCTGGCTGGGGACCTAGAGGGGACATTTGCAACGAGGTAAATCTACAGGCGATTTCAGAATTGTGGTTTCCAGTTCTCTCTTAAGCCCCACACTAGCACCCTCAGGACTTTGGTCTGGAGCAGAGGGGTTCTTCATGCCTTTCTTCTTCCTGCTTTTTTTTTTTTAAGCAGAGAATGAAGGGTTAATATCCCAATCTCTCTCGCCCCCCCCCCCCAGCCTCCCATTAGAAAGGAAAGGAAAGAGAGGCAGCTCAGGGACTTCAGTATTTTTCCTTCAGGGGTTAACTGAGGGCTTTGTGTGTATGTCTGTGTATGTTGCTAAGGTCACCATGGCTGACCGGGCTGCTGCTGAAAGGGCCTGCAAGGATCCCAACCCCATCATTGATGGTAGGAAGGCCAATGTGAACCTGGCATACTTGGGAGCAAAACCAAGAATCATGCAGCCAGGTGAGCTCTGCCCTCCTCTCCCCCTCCCCGTTCTCCACCCAGCAGTGGGGGGCCCCACCGCCATCCCCAGCCCAGCAAGCTTCCTGAAAATTCTGTCGTAGTGTTCAGTAAAACTTGAGTGCCTGCTGGTTATTCCACCAAGGCATTAAAGATACATGAGCGCTGTAAGTGTGCCACTGGGTACTTGAAATGTATCCGAGTGCAAAAATAGACCTTAGGGTCCAGGTGGCATGCGCTCAAAAGTTAATTCATGCGTTTCCCATATGATGATGAGTATTTCTGACTGCTTTCAGTTGTCCAATTTTTACTAGCCACTTGTAGCTAAAAAGGTCAACTGTCTGGCCCTTGTCATCTCCAGCCAGTGGGCCTTCCTTTTTAGTGTGGTCTAGGCCAGCCACTCCATGTTCAGAGCAGGCGTGCCTCGAACCCTGACCCAAGAGGGGCGTTACATGTCTTTTCCCAGAAAGTCACAGACACTACTTACACATAGGAAGACTTCACATTCGTGGGTTTTTCTTTAAATGATACTTCCTTGGAGATGAGAAATAATTTACTGAAATCCTCACAGCTGTTGGTTGACAACGGTACATACCTCTCTCTGCCTGTGTGAAAATATTGGCCGGTTGTATTACTTGGTACTGTTTTTCATATTTATTGAAAATAACTCACCTGACCATTGAGTGAATGTCTTCAATTCCCTGGACAAGCGACTAGGCTAAGTCATGTGCTCTTTGCTCAGCCTTTCCTGAGGTGAAAAAGAGGTTGACACTCCAGTTCAGGAGCCCAGCTGACAGCAAGGGAATACACAGAGAAATACCCACAGACATTGAAAACGGTGTCTCTCTAAAACATCTGTTCTCAAGAGAATGATGGGGGAATTTGTTTTTTGTGAAATTTTAGTACTGTAAGCTGTAAAATTCTTCCAAGGCAGTCTAGAACGTTACAAATTGCAAAGACTTTTTTTCTTTCTTTGCTTTTTCTGTTTTGCTCATGGGTTGGAACTGTAGGAATATTTGTGAATTTAACTTCATTGTTGTTCGAGAGTCTCCCTCATGAGCAGTTTTCTCTGGCCTAATTTTTTTTTAAATCTTTTTTTTAACGTCTGTTAACTATATAGGTTTTTTTTTAAGTTTTCTAATCTTAGTCTATTCAAATGTTTATTTAGGATGAATGATAACAATTATGAAACAGATGGACTTTTCATATATAAAGACCATGTCTGTGTATACCCTAGAGTATCACAGGAGTGGTTCTTTTTAATCAGAAATTATTATTGCATCTTCTGTCCAGAAATAGTAAGTCCCTAACGGTGCACAAATGGAAAATGTGGTGTGTTTTATTGCTAGGTTTTGCCTTTGGCGTTCAACAGCTTCACCCGGCCCTTATACAAAGACCCTTCGGGTAAGTCAATCCACCAAAACCTCCAAAGTTTCCACATGGCCACCATTTGTTTCCCTGACTCTTTGTGAGCAGACAAGGTCGATATGTCACAGAACGTTCCGGGTTTTGCATATTTATATATGCTTATGTATGTTTTAATGCTGATACTATAAATATTTTTAGATGAGTCAAGTTATCTGACCAAGTATGCAGTCTCCAAACCAGCCAAATGTTGGGCTTATGATTAAACAAAACAAAACAAAACAAAAACCCCAAAATACCAGGTATGACTTGTGCACAAGACATGTGTCCCATCGCCATCGCTGCTGCTCAGCTTGACTCAATGTTGTTTATCTCTTTCTAACCTGACAGGGCTCCTATACAGTTAAGCTAACTGATGAGAAGGATGCGATGATAAGAGGTGGACTAGTTCTGTTTGGAATTAAACTCTGTAACCAGTAGACTCAGACACAAGCTCAGATGGTGATTAACCATGCATGGATGTTGGTGGTGTTGTTTTTATTTTTTTCACTATAGTCCATAGCCCTCCGTGTGCTTTATTTTATTTTATTACAGTAATGAAGTGGTGTTGATAGCTAAACTGTGTGCTTTGACTTAATTGAACAGAGCTGTAGTGAGTGTTTTCTTTTCCTTGGGGAAGGGGCTCTTTGCTGTTTGATTTTGGTGGTGGTGGTGAGCAGTGTTGACTTCTGACTTTGCCATGGGAAGCAAAGGGCCTTTTTTCCCTCCTTCCTGCTTTTAAGCTATTAGCCTGTGACTTCCACTTAACATTTTTGTAGTGAGTGCTAAATCGTGTGATTTCTCTCAGTAAGAATACAGATTCACTGCTTGCATGTTGTAAGTCTCTGTTTTCTGGGAACGGGCTTTCTTTTGCAATGTATGTTCACTTCCTGGCCTTCTGGTAAAGATTCGGCAGCTCTATTCAGATCTCATTAACAGTCACCAGTCTGGCCTTCCTTTTCCCTCCTTAATTTCGTTTGGTTTTTGTTTTGAGTAGCACAGTACTAACTCCCTCCTTTCAGATTTAACAGGGGAACAGTCTGCTCACATTTGTGCTTTCTCTGGGTCCTGTTATTACCAGCTCCTGAGGTCCCCCAGTTCCTTTACATTAAACACAACCCGGGAGGGAGGCCCCCATCAGTTTATCCCGAATACTAGAGTCTGTTTCCTCCATCTTCTGCCTGACTGATAGTCTTGTAATTCTCATTCTTTTTGAATATCCAAGCTGTTTGAAGAATTTTATTGTTATCCAGCTTAGCACCCAAAGATTCCCATTTGTCACCTTGAAGGCTAGAATCTGTCTTCACAGGTAGAAGCCTACCGTAAGCATCTCCTAATATAGGCTAGCCCAAAAGTAAGTAGTAAGTTGACTTGGAAGAAGGAAGCTATATTTTGATAGACACTTTTTATTACCCTCTTGTTATTTTAATCTATTAGATATTCACTCTTAGAGCCGTCTACAGCTTTTGAAAAAGCTACAATTAAGTATAGCTGTGTACCAAAGCCCCTTCCAAGCCAACTTGGGTATGGACAACGAGGGAGGGATGAGTTGATTGGGCCAAGCATTCTCTCCCAGTCCCACTCCCTCCTTCCCTCCTTCTGTTCCCTCCCTTCCCTTCTCTTCTCCCTCTGCTGATATTTCACTAGTGTAGATTATAAGTAAAGGTGGGACTATGGAAGAAAACATACATCTGAAGGTGGAATAGTGAGCTTAGTTGTAACCTCCCAGGGATCATCTTGAAAGAGTGTAAAACCAAATCAATCAACAGCTGTTCCTAGTTCAACCACTTTGTAGAAAACAAAGTTGCATGTTCATTGCGAGGAAGAAAGAAGATGGCAGAGCAGCTCAGAATTGCTCATTGATAAATGGCTTGGCACTGTTTCAAGTTTAAGAGGAATTCAGAATCATAAGAAAACACATGGATTGGGAGAACTGGACAGGCTGTGAGGAGGGGAGTAGACCTGAACTGGATGGGGGCGCTGGGCCTGTCTACGAGGTGTGTGGTGGGGTAAACAGGCGTGGGGCTACGCGCAGAGGCTCAGCATGTAGAGAAACTACAGTGCACTGGAAAGCCAGTGGAGTAATCTGGCCTGGCTGGGACAGTCCTTCGTCCTTGAGGAAGAAAGCAATTCACAGAAGACGAGAACCAACAGGGCGATGTTAGTATGCAGACATTTTAAATCAAACACGTTTTTATAGTAACCTTTTGTTTTTCATCTCTACTGATATGGACTGTCTTTGTGATGAATGGTGATTGTTGCTGCGTGCATAAATTGTTTGAACTTGAGATTCAAGTTGAACTTGAGGTTAGAAACAGATAGCATTCCAGGTAGGCCAAGTAAGGTTTCTCTTTCTTTTTCTTTTCTTTCTTTTTTTTAAAGTGGTTCTCAGCATTGCCCCGATCCCAAGTCCGTAACCAACAAATCACACTGGTCACCCTAAACTCTGTTTGAATGTCATATGTTCTTGTTTTAGGCCTGCCTGGAAGTGAGCTTGAGAATCTTTAAATTTTCACTTGTTTTGGAAGGTTAGTGAGGAGACTATTAGTTTTCTGAGGTCCTTAAATGGCCCCTGGGTTACCTAAGGTCTTTAAAGACAAACACATTGGCCGAAAGAACTTCTGACTTGGCAGAGGGCAGATGCAGAAGGACTTGTGGGCTTGATGAGAGTCTTAGTGGTCTCTGAAGGAAGTGTTTCCTCATCACAGCTTTGCTGCGGGTCTGTGAGAAGAGATTTAAGGAGTAGCTTACACCAGGCTAACTGCACAATGAAGCGTTTAATGAGCCTGGTTGTTAGCCTCGCTGTACCATGGGAGTGGTCATCTGGTGTACTGTGTGCATAGAACTGCCAGAGGCCCACAGACATTTTACCATTTAGTTCTTCTTATAAGCATTTGTGAAAAAGGACACTGTTAAGGGTCTTTCTTGGGAGCAAACAGAACAAGTACAGACAGGTTAATTAACCTCCCCCAGTCACAGAACCAGTGGGTGGGTTAAGAGTGTGATTCCGAGTTCAGAGTTGTGGTCTGCTTCACCTTGAAAGCTGTGTCCATTCCCTGATGTCAAGATGCAGCCAGAAAAAAAAAAAGAAGCATAATGTAGCTTTCTCATCACCTAGTAATAAAATAATCAGTGCGGGAAGGGCCTCAGACAGAAGGAGGGAGACAGCGGATCAGTGGGCCTCAAGGAGGGCTTTACAAAGAAGATGAGCTAGCTCTTCCAAGGAAGGTGAAGATGAGGGACTGTTTTATTAAGCACCTGCTGTAGTAACCCCTGGAGGCTCCTCTCACAGAGAAGTTTATTTAGTGTAGTGCAGCTCTGGGCTGGGAAACGTCGAACTCTTTCACAAAGGAACAATGCAAGAGAAAGAGGGAAAGCAGACTTCCAAAGGTTCTTGGGCACAGAGGACTAGAGCTAGGGTGGATGGCGGGGGGGGGGGAAGATTGGCCTCCTGGATGAGGAATGGATTGCATGTGCGGAAGTGGGACCCAGCAATCGGTGGCATGGCCAGGAAATAGTAAAATGTTCTACAGACCTGGGTCCAAAGAGAGGTTTAAAAAGATTCTAAAAAGGTGTTTTGGAGACAGATGTACAAAAGACCCAAAACGATGAGATTTAGGAAATGATTTGGTGGGGTTTTAGGGATCAGTGACTCCTATGAGCAAATGGGTGAAATGAAGACTTGGGTTGCTGGTCTGCACAATACGTTAGAGCAGCTGACTTACTGCTTCGAAAGTCACAGAGACTAGCCTAGCATGGTGGTACATTCCTAGACCCCAGAACTCTGGGGGCTGAAGCAGGATGATCATGAATTTGAAGTCATCCTGGGGAAGGCTACGCAGAGAGACCATGTCTTAGAAAAGAAAAAAGAAAGGGAAGGGAAGGGAAGGGAAAGGAGAGGAATCACAGATCAGTGTCAGGGGGACCTAAAGAATGGAGATAGAAGGAAAATGTAGTCAATTTTGTTTGATCACCAGGGGTGTCCCTCCCCTTGGCTCTCGAGCTTTGTTGATGCTTGGTATGAACTAAAGGGGCTGGAGCTTGGTAGAATTCTGGTGGGAGGGGCCTTCCCAAATTGTCTTACTGAGTTCATTAGACTGCTAAAAAGAACTCCCAGCACACCCTTCAGCCCTCTGCTGCTTTCTCCCTGAACTGAGACATGGGTTCTCTCCAGGGTCCTCTGAGACATGGCTCTCTGGGCTCCTCTGGCCTCCCCTTTTCCATGATCTTTTAAAGGCCACAGGTCTTCATTTGCCATTAAGACATCTTCCTTGCCCTTGCCAGCCTTCCTGTAGGAATCTGACCTTACAGAAAAATCATTCTCATCGGGTGGCTCCGTCCAAATCAGAAGTAGTCATTAACATGAGTACAGAGACAGCAACTCTTGAAGCAATCCTTTCTCTGTTTTAACACATTCTTCACACACACACACTTTAACCTGTCTTCTTTTTTCGGGGGGGGGGGGCGTTAGGGTGGAGGTTAAGAGTAAACCTCCTTTGAGCTACTTGATTATTTGAAAACACAAACCCTTCAGACACCGTGCTGTCGTCAGAGCACTGGGAGGACACCAAGGGTTAATGTCTCCGTATCAGTGAGGTTCAGACTGGCTGGCCTCTGCAGCTGATAGAAGCTTCACGTTGGCCTTATAAAGACATTTTATCCGCTGGAAACCCTTGTCGCATGACAGGATCAAAAATAGCCCAGCTGCAGCCTCCACTGTCCATCACCGCATGTAGACTGGCAGGAGAGGAAACTCTCTTAGCTGCGTCTGCACATTGCGGGCTGATCAGCTCTGGGGACAGCGAGTTATACAGTCCCACCTGTCACCAGACATGAGCCCGTCACCTGACCTGACACGGAGTTCTGAGAGTGTGCACGGCCACGCTGCTGCGCCTGGTTTCCGACATGCAGTTAAGAACATCTCTAAGTGTCCTCAGAAACACTTGATGACACGGTTGCTGCTGGCACCGGGAAAGAGCTACGGTTCTAGTAAAAATTAAATGTATTTTTATCACACAGGGACAGAGTTCACCACCCTCTCTGATAAATTCATCTTTTCCATGGATATTCTTAACAAATGCTTCCAGTAGAATTCTGAAGAGGGAAGAAAGAAAGAAAGAAAGAAAGAAAGAAAGAAAGAAAGAAAGAAAG